CCGAAGTTTTTCCGCCGGTGAACCGCACGATTTCTCCGCACTTCTCAGCCTACGATAGTTTTCTTCTTGTTCTTTCAGACAAAATTAAATGTTCCCCTATCGTACAAAAGTGTCGCCGTTTTCTCTGTTCTCGAGGAAACCACTTGCTCCGATTACGCGGGAAATTTGAACCCTTTGCATTTCACGCGACGTACTCTGATGAAAAAAACTGTACTTAACCCTTTGCTGAGTCGAGTGGCGACTGAGAAGCGAGATTAAATAATCAATCAAGACCCTCTTAGAGTTGATATTTTCCTGATCTATCAGACCTCCGTAAATTGTTCACCAATTATCAACACTAGAATTACCAGCCGAGTCAAAATGGCCCCCATTAGCGACTTTCCAAAAGTGAATTTTTATGTAAATAAACCGTAAACCGGAAAATTCGATTCGTATCGGTACAAATAGAAGCATACATGCAAAATGAATAAATTCGGAAAGTTACAAACGGTAATACTTATCAGTATCGAACATTCACGATTTTTCGAAAGATGCTCAATGGGTCACCTTAACCCGGTCGGTAATTCTAATGTTAAAGGTGGTAAGGAGTGAAACAATTTCAAAGAAACAACCTCGAGAATACGTTAAACATTGAAATAAAACAGCACACCTTATTTCTACGTTAGTTTGAAAAAATCTCAAAGATCCGATTTGCAACTTTTCCTACAGCAAACAAGACCTTCGCGAGTGCAAAGGGTTAAAGCTCTGTAGATCGAGCCGACTGTAGATACATATATTCTCGACATTCTTGAGACCGTTTCTTTTTTTTCTTCTGATCGCCGGATTCGTCGTGTTCCATTCATCGATGCGATACATTTCACGAAAGGAGAACACGCGTACACCAGGATCCACGGTTAACGAAGGACACATCGTGAAATGAAACGCGGCGCCGTGCGCCATGGCTAAAAGCCACCAGGAGATACAACATCGGAGAAAGGGTTGGTCGTAACGCTAATAATGTGTATCGAACACTTGACTTCCGACACCGCGGAACCTCTTTCGTTTTACACGCGCAATCGTCAATTATCCCACTTACTCGACCAAGATTTCATCAACTCTCCCGTGAAAGGTTTCTGACTTGGAGGTTGTTACGTTCGGTGTATAGTCGATGGAAGCGATATGAGGCGAGCTCGTAAAATCGGTCAAGCGTGAAATGTATGTACAAGTAATCTGAGCACCGAAACACCAATTCGAGGAAGAAGCTCGAGCCTTGCTTCAGGGCCGTTCGATGTCGACGAACAATTGCTTCTTCCATTACGGTGTATATTTGAAAAACTTCCCTGCGCCTTAACCCTTTAACCCTTCGTGACAGTTTATCCCGCGTGAGACTCGGGCAGAGGGTCAAATATCTAACTGTTTAAACTCAAAAGAGACTCTTAGGAAGAAAGTTAGATAGGGACGAGATATTATTGTCACAACTATGACGTATCACACACAGCATAACTGTTAAAAAGATACGCGTAAAATCTGAATTTTTTTCACCGTAATTCGTAATTTTATTAGACTGTCAAAGGGTTAACGCTCGTGACCGTATCTCACACGTGCACAACTCTGATCCTTCGAAAAGTGCAATTTTGTTTAATTATTTTCTTTCACTTTTTCTTTTTGCGCTGTCCTCTCTATTCCATTGCAAACATCTATTGCAAGTCTATTTCTATACGCCTAGGAAATAATGAAAAAAAAGAAAGGAAAATTGATCTTATTTGGCAGATCGAGTTGAGAAAAAATGTGAGCGTTAAGGGGTTAATCGTTGAAAGCTGCAGGCTCAAGGTTAGCAATACGGAAATTACTATTGGAAAAGTGGCGATGGAGGCTTAACGATGCGAAATGAAATTTACGCCGTATCGAGAGACCGATTTGATTATTCAAAGGATAATTGTGTCACTATATTAATTTTCGTTTTGCTAAATTACATATAAATTTCAATCGTCCGCAAAGTGTTCATACCGCCGCTTTAATTCATCGACTGTGGTGTATAGTCGATGGAAAAAATATAGCGAGATCGTGAAATCGGTCAGGCGTCAAAGTTAACACGTTCGAGTATATCGACAGAAATCTGAGAAAATAAGGACCTTAAACCAGAGGCTGCATGAAGCATGCCTTAGCTCTTTGATTCGATCCTATTCGAAAGATGAAAAATGTATGCCGCATTCGATCCAGGGCGTTACTGCATCAGTCGGTGCCGCCTACTTAATGCTTTAATTTACGACCCCGCTGTATTTCTTCCATCGACTATACTTCAGGAGAAGAACATCTCTCGAATGCAGAGATTTTCGTGAAATTAATTTTGAAGGCTCGATAATAATAACTATCGAGTAACACGATTGAAAAGTGATTTAGGTGCATCGAATACCATAACTCGAACGTTCTAAATATCGATCATACTCGAAGATTAACACTGAATATCGAGCACTAAGATTCAAAGGTTGTTGATATCGTACATTACGATTTAGGGTTGTAAATATCGTTGCCTTAACTTTTATTCGGTCGTAATCGAAAAATAAAAAATGCCACATTCGACCCTGAATTCATCTGTGCCGCTAGTTAATGCTCCAATTTACGACCTCTCTATATTTCTTCCGCTTAAAGCCCCCAATTCCCATAGGCACCTACAGGTGTCATATTTTATTTAGCCTGTCACATAAACAAATTAAGTATTTATAGGATCTAATGCACCGTACTGAACAATTTAGTATCTATTTGAGTATTTTCATTAATAAAACAGCCAATAGGAACTCTAACCCGATCCGTTTTTCAATTATTGTTAAACAGCTGTTCCTTCACGTGTTTCGCGTTACTTCGTTAATTTTCAATGAAACGTAAGTATAAATTATATTTCGAATTTACACCGTTATACAGGGTGGGCCGGTTTTGCATCGTAAAACAGTTTTTTATAATAATTTAGTTATGTCAATAATTTCATAGTTAACAGTTAAGTTGATAATTTGGTAGAACGTTTTACGATGCAAAACAGGCCGCTTACTTATCTTCTGTAGCAATGGTGATACGAGAAAATTTTTATACGTAATTTAAATGGTTTAAAATTTTCTTTATAAAAGTTTGTAGATCGAGAAAAAAATAAAGTGCCATCGACATTTTCAAAATGAAAAAGCACAGAAAATTAGTGAAAGATTTTTCTTATTTTCACTGTAACTTGACACTAGTTATCGACCGAAGCTAATTGTTTACGTTCACGTGTCCAGAGATCCTTCACCCGCTCCTTATCTTTGACCCTAAGAAGGATCGAAGGTATAAAAGGTGTCGGAAATGAAAAGAAGGATACACGCGTGATCTCGATGAAAAACAATTTGCATTTCCCAGTTTGCAACATGGTTCTATTAAACAACGACAAATAATGAAAAGCTCGTTTTATCTTAGGAGGAGCACATTTCAAATGGTTCAATTATTAATCCCGCCCCTCTACGTCGCAATACTTATCTCATTTATATACGACGTATATGTGTATATATATAATTTTTTTTTTTTTTCAAAACACTGCATACTTGTGAGGCTTTTGCGTAAATTATTATCGAGATATCAGCTTTCAAGTTTGACATGTCGTCGACATTAGCGTTACCCGACGTGCACCACGAGGAGGTTACTCGGTCGGACAATGTTTTGGAAACATTGGAAAACTACTCTCGATAATAATTTACGCAAAAATACCAAGTACGCAGTGTTTCAAAGACGTTTCGATGTCAGATATAAGAATGCACAATCAAAAATATACGTTCCCGTTTAAAAACTTAAACGTCACCTTTACAGGGCACTTCAAGGTCATTGCAAGGTTAAAAAAAAATAGCGGAATAATATGTCGCTCTCTATAACCTACAACTTTTGTCTGAAATATTTTTTTATATCATTCGTAGTTTTCGAGATAGTTCCGTGTTCTGAGATAAACTGGACATACTGTACCTATACCGCATTTTATATCTTCTAGAAAAACCGTTTTCTGTCTTGAAATGAGCTAATCTCATTTATTCAAATGCGAAAATATTATGTTTATTTTTGAAAAAGAAAGTGATTTTTGATGAACTTGCATTTTCTATAAATCATCGGTTCCTTGAAAAATGTCACAGTACACGAACCTACAATTTTATTTGACTAGTCCAATTTTGTAGAGTGTATTGACAGACATTGTCTGCCTATGCTCTATACACTTCTTTACACACTCGTTCTTGCGTATTCGAAATCTACAAACATAACCTGTTGCGAGAACGCAAGGTACGATATACCAATGTCATACACAAACCCGAGCTACAAACAAATTCGACTTAAATCGACTAACAGAAGAAAAAGAACAGTTTCGCTTTATTGTAATCTATCGCAGTTTCGCGTTAAAAAATCTAACTTTTTATTTGATAAAATGACTTATCTACGGACAAGTAATTTTAAGTAAATAAACGTTCTTCGTAACATTAGCAATTAATTTTTGTGAAAGAATATGGTCTGGTAAATATATACCTGTCAAGGGATTGTGAATTGAAAAATGTGAAAAATTCGTTGAACCTCGGGATAATTAAGTTTGTATTTCCAGTGGTAAACGAAAGGCCAAAGGGAGGGCAACGACGTACTGCGTCGTAAATACATAACCATAACGCAGTCGGGCAAAATTTTGCGTATATACCGACCGTCACTACCAACATGACTTTCAAAAAGTCACAAAAATTCGATTCACGTTATTGACTATTTATACTTCTCTTAATAAGAAATACGAAAAGCCAGTACGAAATTACATAATCGACGGAAGAATTAATTTAACCCTTTTCCAAAATTCGACGAACTTACGTGCGTATACATGATACAACGGAGAATTTTTATCAACGGAACAAAGAAAGAGAGTCGGAGAAGCCGGTAGCGAGGAACGAAAGCGATGCTGACTCAATATTTCCCAGAGGTTGACTTCATCCAGAGAACGAATGACATGGAAAAAGATGGAAAAAACATACTTGTCCACGTACCTGATTATTCTCGAGCTTCAGATTTCCGTGAAGAATAATTCTGTGAACCGCACTGACGCTTCACGCCATGGAGCTCCTGTACAAGATGCCTCACTCGCGAACCGCGTCACGGGAAGCGGGATTTACCTCTTACTCCCTTTCGGTCTAAGCCAATTTTCCAAACAATCGGCCCCACAACTAGATCGTTACATTTTCGCGGGCGAAACGGCCCTGTCTAGCCTTCCTGGATGCAGCGTCTCTGCTGTCTATGGGATTAATACGTGCTGACCCGGTCGGACGCGAACGAGACCGCTCTTTCTTCTTTCCTTATTCTCTGTCTCTCTTTCTCGCTTCGACGAAACGCGCACGCTCCAGCACGAAAGCTCGCCGACAAGTAAAAGCTCGACCGCGAACAAACGACAGACCCAAGACGCGTCTTTCGAAAGCACGGCGCAAGCCCAGACTGTTCGTGCGAAATCCGACCCCCATGCTCGTGTTAGGGGTCGTCTCTTCTCGGCTACGTTCGGCCACCAATGGTGAACCCGACCTGCCAAGCGTTTCGCGTGAGTGGGGCTGACTTATACTTTGTTCTGGTTTACACATCAGCGTAACGAGGAAGGAAGGCTGTTAGAGAAAGGTGAACGTTACTTGTACTTTTATTTACATAGTTTGTCCCTTATCGCTTCTTTTTGGCGCTCTTTACAAGAATACAATTTCGATGCGTTTATAGTTCAACCACTTTGCGAATTTATTTTCAGCGATGTTGTATTCGTTTGGATCTGTAAGTGGAAAATATAATTGTGAATAAAATAAATATAATGATTATTCTATATACGAGTATTAAAGTTTATTTATATTTAATGTTCCTGTGATGAATACCAGGTTAATTTGATCCCTTTGAAATCTGATAATAATGACACTTTTACTGATTAATTGAAAAAAACGTATGCAAGTGAACTTGAATGTTTCAATTGATAACGACAAAGGAACTAACAAGCTTCTGAATGAAGTTTCTATAAAATAAAACAATTTTGGAACAAATGTCTTTTAAAATACAATAAGCTAAAAAACACTTGATATTTAGAAATTTAAAATATTTAAGGAGGTTATTAGAATTTTAGAGTCAAAAGTGTTTCAAGATGAACCATATTTTGTTAAAAGATACTAATAGCATAAGATAAATTATAAAGTACTTGTACGAAGAATTCGTTGCTTACGGATTCCGCTTTGATTTACTTTAATTTCGGTATATTTCATTTATCTAATTGAAAATTAATCAAAATATCAGAGAAATACTTCTTTTCAATCTGTGATACATAATACATATTTTATACTTTCTGATAATCATTATAAAATATGTCAGTAAGTACGCCATCACCTTCATGATTGATAACTTTTTTGTGTGACACATTTTCCTTTAGTGCAAGAACGCAATTCGGTCTATTTTGTATAGCAAATTAATTTAAGGTGAGTAATAAAATTAATCAAGAATATTATGCATACCTCGCGAACAAAATTGCAAGCATAATTTGTACATGCTCTAAAAATTTTAAATCGCTTCAAAATGTCCGTATTTGCAAATGTACGTTTCGATGAAACATTCCTTTCTACGCTATCGATAACACATATCGAGTATCGATATGTACGTTAACAGATACAATATATCGACTGTCTTACAATCGAATGTAGCTATCGATAGTCGGCAGCACTGTGCGTTTAATTTATAGAAAAACAAATTTATTACGAAAGTAATAATAGTGTGAATGTTATTACAAAATAAAACATACTTTAAGCAACTATTCTTTTTATTGTATTATCAACTATGGCCGAAGCTGATAGTCCTCCAACTGTAGTAAGCAATAAAACTTTAATACTTAACCTACATTTTTTTCATTTAATGTAATTAATATTAATCTACACTTATAAGATATATCATTTAACCTATTTTTAATATTGCAACAGTTTAATTATATTTTTTAATGGTTTACAGGATATTCCAAATATTTCTAAAAATGCATGTATTGCTGGAAGTTGGTTAAATAGTAATAAAATCAGTATTTATGTTGAAAGATTAAAGAAACAAAGTAATGTGAAGTATGACCCAACAGTACATGTTCTAAGACCAGAAGTAATTTTATTTTCACCACAACTACGAAAATTAGTAAATGAAAGCAATGGTGTCTTTTTATCCATTCAAAAGATAAAGTCATCCTCTGGAGATGTTAGACCTGAACTTTTAAAACATAGTAAACAATATAGATCAATTTTGAGAGCATGTATAGAAAGTTTGCAAGATATATGTGGAAAATCTTTGTCAGATAAAAAAGAATCCTTAGAAAATTTTCTCACCATTTTTTATCAAATAGAATGTGTATGGCATTTAACTGAAATTCTATATGTGGATGTAGTGCCAGGTAAATTATTTTGTCATAATTGTGCATTAAATAATATAAAATAAAGAAAAAAATATTGAAAGACTAATATATGATATTTTAAATGTAGGTGATGTAGTTTTACCACAGTTGTTAGAATGGATTAAATTTCATTTTCCATCTAGAGAACTCATGGCACTTAAAATATTAGCTCAAAAGACAATTGGTGCAGATTTGGAACATACAAATTATTGGGAAGCTGTAATAGGCTGTGCATTACATGGAAAATTAGATTTAGTAAGGGCTTTATTAATATTACATAGTAAAGCAGATCACCCTGCTTTTGTAATGGCAGAAAATGTTCTTAAAACAATGCCTGTGTACAATGTATATGGTGGTTATTCTGTAAATGAATTTACTATGCGCTGGAAACATTGGCAGTTAGATCTATGTTCAAATGTAAATAATAATGCTTTTATCATTGATACCAACTTGGAAATGATTATGAAGGTATTTATAATAGTGTGTATATGTAAGCAGACTACAATAATTTTATTTAAGTTACTAAAAAGCATTTAATGCAGTTAATTTCAGGAAAGCAAGACATATTATGGCAATTTTCACAATACACAGATGCTTGGTATGAACTGTTAGCAGCAAAATTATTTTACACCTCTCCATGTTGTAAACAACCTGAACTTTCACATCATGCAAACAGCATGTCCAAAAGATGGCAAGCTAATAGACCTTCTGATAATGCTATACGTGCCTTAATGGAAAATAATTTACACCATGTTATTAAAGAAATACAATACATGGGTGAAAATGGTTGGTTTGCTGCTCATCTGGTAGATTTATTATATACTTGTGGAAAACTTAAAATATTGGATAAAGATCAGCTAGAGTAAGTAACTTTATAATTTATGGTATATAAAAAT